GTGCCGGATGTACGTTTCCAGCTGCACACTGCGGACCACTCGGCATAAATCAAAAACATCGTTTTATGCTACCCGAGGCGGTGAAGTCTTAAAATTACCATTGGTCCATATGCCTAGCGGCTAAACGTTCACAAAATCTCTAATAGAAAAAATGAACAAGAGGGAAATGTTCCGAGCAAGTAACCGGCTGCCGAGTCAGCTAAATAACGAGTCGGAGCTGACTGGAAATATTCTGGAACCAATTGATTCGTTTTAGCTTGGAACACGATACACGTACAGATTGCGCGACGATCTAAAGGAGAAACAACGATTTTTCTTCTTTCAAATTTTATTCCATATTTCGAATTGAAATGTAATTACGGATCGTTTCGTATTTATCAATCGGGAAAAATCGGTGTCGGTAGGACGTTAAATTACTCTAGGACAATTAACCTGGTTCTCAGTGATTTCTAGAGAATACGCTGTGCTCGACGGTGCGATTTTACCAACGTTACATTCGATCGCATGCCAGTTAAATACATAGCGGAGGCATCTGTCGAGTCTTCGCGAGGACTCGACTTCCATTTTCCGTTTTACTGTCCGTTGATAAAACAGATTAATTCGTACGATTCTATGCTGGAAATAGAAATATTTATCGTATTCGCTAATCATGCGGGACGTAAATCGCAATTTAAATAACATTCATATTTGTTATCGTAATATCGCGCGGCGAAAGATACGCGTTTCTTTTTATTACATATTTTGTCTCGAATTTATCGGATGTCGTTGACATTTCGCAATCTGTTGCATGATTCGATAAAATATATTTATGCAAGCTAGCATTCCAGAAATCCCTATCTGTCGACGAAGTCGATAGTCTTTGCAATCATACGCAGTAATTTGTTCGTGTTTTATTTAATCGACTCGGTGAAATTTACGAGCATTTAACATCGCGAAAGCGGTTTCTCGTTTACCATCTTCTTCGAAGACGTTCCACGGATGATTAAGACGTAGTACTTAAAGAAGAGAAACTAGTTTGTCCCTTATACAGTGCTCTAATTAGTCGAAATGAGATAATTGCTTCGGCAAAGCTTATACGGAGAAAGAGAGACCTGAACCTGTCGCGTATTCTTTAGACTTTAGACGACACTCGTTTACGTAAAAACTTTTTCGTTACCTTTCGATGATATTGTGCATATACGTACGAGTAACAAAGTTACTTCGAAGGTAATTCGAAATCGCAGAATCGAACATCATTCACGCCTATTTCGATAGCAGTTTCCCTTAGAAAATACAATAAAATGTTTTAAGACTTATCGTACTTTTTTCTATTCTGTATTTTTCTTGCACTTGTCAGAGTTCTACTTAATTCTATTGATTACGATTAAATCAACAACGTGTTCCGACTAATTAGTAAGTAGTTGCTGCGTTGACGATGAATATTAACAAATTATTTCCGGTCGGAAGTAAGACGAGGTAATATCGATTACGCGAAGGAAGTCTCGATGAATAATCGTATATTTTATAGCGTAATTATGTTCGTTGCTTGTCGGAGACTAGCATTTATACTACTTACTGTAAGCTTATATGAAAATATCGTCGTGGTATAACATGGAAACGCGTAACTTACCAAAAATATAGTCTTTCGAGCGTATCAGTTTTGACTATAGTAAGGATTGTGTATTATTTTCATTGAAACAAATGCAAAAATAACATTATCGTTTCTTAACGCGCATTGCGGAAGACATAGAATAATGATAATAATCGGTTTCGTCGCGTCGAGTCGTTGATTCTATCGGTTAATTCGCTTCGAAATAATTTAATCGCGTAATTGTAGGGTCGTTAGGACGCCAAATCGAAGACAAGTCGCTCGATGTATGGATACAAGCACGCGAAAATATTTGAATAACATTACGCTTAAAGTTGAAATGTATACAAACTATAGTATACGGTAACTGTACGCGCTCCGTGGAGATACGTGCTAACGTATAAACTATGCAAACGACAGGAAAATTAAATAACAAATATTGAGGATTCATCGAGGTAAATATTACTGCAACGTTACTGCGTTTCACGGAATATCGCTCTGCAGATTTAATCGGGGCTAGAGGTGAGACAACTTCGTATCAGTTCTATACATATAATAACATATGCGTATGATATGTGTATGAATTTAATGTAGCAATCACTCGTATGAAACAGTATTGCACAAATGATATATAAACTTCGATCAAAATAAACAGCAACGAAATTAATTCGTTTCGCGAAACGAATTAATTGTTGAGGCAAAATTATAATTTAGTAACATCGTATTAATTTTCAAATTGAAACTCATAATTGTCTGTAACAGAAGGATGTTTAATTTATGCAGGAAACCAGCTGCGAAAGAATTCGAAAGCATAAATCGGTGCATTATCGGTTGCCACGAGCATCGAAATCGGTGGCAGGATGTTGACAGCGGAAATGTGCAGCATGAAAAACACACGCGTCGTTGTTGCTGGTCGAAGGTTGCTAACATGGCGCTGAGTTAATCAAAATGACGATCCGAGGATCGCGCGACTCGGCGTGATTCGATTCTCGGAAACGCTATACGAAAAAAGAGCGAGCACGTGAAAATAATTATGCAGGCCGAGCACGATTGGAAGTTAGCGTTGACAGTCGTGGCGCGTATGATATTTCTCGGTTCGAAACGATTCTACGATCGATTTCCTTGACGCCACTCTTCCGTGCACGACCGCCATAGTCTTCTCCTTCTTCGTTAACGATAATTGCGCGAACGCCACCTTGCTGCGAAGAACAGCTTTCGTGATCGTATACGCGAGACGCGTTATTTCTTTTTTGTTCGACTTCTATACAGAACCTATACGACGTACCTTCAGGCTATTATTCGTTCGCGATATCGTCACGAGTTTCGCGAGCCTGAAACTACCGTATCATTCTTTTTCTGCGGAAAACGTCGCGATTGAAAAGTCAGATCACGAGACGACCCTGACAAACAAACGTACCGATGCGCATATCCTCGATTCTTATAAAGCATCGTACGTCTGTCCGCTCGAAGCTCTCCCAGGGAACAGTAAAAACAGTAAAATACGATAGCGAATCCTGTAATTTAATTTACCTACACAGCATCATTGTAAAAAAGGTCACGAGGAAGCGTATATACGTATCTATCGTCGCGGTCTCATCAACAATTCTCTCCTTCTGCTTCAAGGTTACTGTCACTGACACCACTAATTGGTATTCCCGTCAACTTTCTACCTCTGCAATTGCACTTAGTGTCCTCTAACTTCGTTTTTGCTGTTATCAGCTACGAATGTAAATTCTTATCCTCGTTAGAACGCGACAACTTGTTAAGCGAGTTGTTACGATGATTAAACGTATTATAGCACCTGCTTTTGGTATAACCGCTGTCTGTTTGTATTCGAAGTCATAGTAGCGGGTTTCCAAAGAAATTTCGCAGTACTTCCCAACGACTCGAAGCAAGATCCGACGATACAAAGGTCCTTTACATGACAATGCAAAAACGTCAGAACAGAACTGCTGTTTTTTCGTACATATCTACAAATTGTAGATATCTGTCGGATAAACGTAAAATGCACTGTAATGACGTAAGCAAGAACAGGCGAAAAGGGAGTCGATGGAATTGCAACGTCGCGTTTACGAGTATTAATCGGAGGTTATCCTCGTAAGTGGAAAAAAAGAATTTCATTTGTAGAATAGCCGGAGTAGCGGCACAGAGCGTTGTTAATTTCCGGTGCTTTGTTCTTCGCGACCACGGGCTCGTTTCATTTCCGTTTAGCGACACGACCGCGCGTCACTGGTCCGAACGAACAAAAAAGAAAGAGGAATTAAAGCTTCATCGAGGAAATGGCTTTCACTAATCTTTCGAATGATCGCGTTGCTCTCCTTTTGTCCCGAAAAGGATCACTTTATCGTTTCCTACAAGATTTTATTGCAACCTAGGATTTCTCTTACACGAGTCGCCACGAACATTGCACCGGAGGGACTAAAAATACCTCAAATTTGCATTGAGTCTACAATGTTTGAAGCAGTAAAATAAATATAAGATTATATTTATGCTATTATCGCTTACATATCATCTTTACACGTATTTATCATCGTATCGTGATTCATGCTAGCTGTAACTAGTACACGATGCTGGAGATTTATGTCGTTAGAATATCAAATATTGGATAATCTGAAGAAATAAAGAAATCGTGCAGCGAATAATCAACCATTTACCACATTGATACCATCTACCAATGTTGACGTTCGGACAATCGCTTTCTTTCTCTTCGAATTACGGCGATACTACTGCTCTACAGTTCAAAGGAAAATTATCATTTCACCATTTGTTTAGATTGGCTATTATCGCGTACATAGAAAAATAAAAGTTTCGTTAGTCGTGTTTGTAGCATCAAACTAGATAGCAGCAAATATGTACCTCCGACAACTGTTAAAGAGAAATAAAAATTGTCGGAACATCACCTTTCGTTCGACGCATTAAATGACGTTCGATGTCCAGATTTAGCGATTACATGTAAGAGAAGAGACGAAATACTTGTTACGTTGTCGCTCTTTAAAAATATCGTTCGAGCATAGACTGGCTATAAATTTGAATAATAATGCAATATGTCGAATCTAACGCGGTCGACAATCGGTAGTTGTAATAATTTTCAAATTTTTACGGACAGGTATTCTCGAACGGATCGATTTCGAATGGAAACGTATCGACGTTACGAAAACAGGTTTCGATCCAGTCGTTAGACGAGAGACCGTGATACGTGGTTCGAGCGAGTCTCGATGTTGAAGCTGGAAGGCAAAAGGTCAATAAGTTAATTATCTCGCACGATTCATGATTTCTAGCTCGATTCTATCCTTCACACGTGGTTCGAACGTTGCATCGGTGTTCCTGCAGTTTCATGAATTTCCAGAATCCCTACCATTGTTGTTTCGCTTTTCTCTCGCATCCCCACTGAGGTCGCTTCTTTCACGAGGAAGGGGAATCCATTTAAAGTGAACTTTGACGAATCACCGGCCAAACCGTTGCGTCCCGTGGCAACTCTCAGTCGAGAGTCGGACTTGAACCTGATTGGAACTAACGAGAGTGACTGGGAGCTCTTGTTTGTTTTATATATATATATATATTCTTCGTCAAGAACACGCTTTCACTCGAGATGCTGAGGGAAACGATTCTCGTTTTCGCGGCTCTCCTCGTGCTCGCCGCTGCCACGGAAGTTAACAAGTGCGGCACTGGTGCGTACAACGTTGTTTCGCCTTTTCTTATCAGAACATTTGTACAATTTTAGTTCGGGAGTTTGGTCCGTTTAAACGTATTTTCGAATTTACCCCGTTAATAACAATCGGCACCTATAGTTAATTACTCGACTACGTGGTAATAGAGATACCGCGGTAACGATAGAATATACATATTTCTTAGCGCTCGATGCAACCTCACGCGACTTATAGACTTATCGACAAACCAACGAGTAATATAAATTTCTACTATTGTAACTTCGTTTTAAATAATTAACCGGGCCGTGAATAACTTTTGTCGAGAATCACTCGTGGAATCGCGGCTCGACCATTCCGAGAATCTTTTGTCATTCTTTAAACTTTGTTTCCAGTCAGCAACGATGTTGCTTCTAGAATCTGAAGAGTCAATATTTTTCATGTTTGCGGTCAAAGAATCACAGAATACACACGATCGGTTGTACATAAAGCAGTGTTTGCAACTTCTTGTATATTGATTCGAAGTTACGTAACGGCGTCGACCAAGTTCACGAATTATGAAAAATTATCGACTTTCCTTCGGAAACGGACTGAATTTTTCTCGTGCTCGTAAGTTTCTCGAGCCTGCAGTTAGCGAGATCGCATCGCTTCGATTCGCTCGTTTCTATACTCATAATCTCCATCACTGCTTTATATTTCCATTCGATCACCTTGAAATTGATTATCTCGAACCGGTGAAACGGGGTTTCACCGGCCTCTTGATTTACGAGGGGTTCAACGATCGTCTTTTTTTATGCAAATTGAGCCGGTTGCTACAAAGAAATGTGCGAAGAAATCGACTATGTGTATTTAAGCTTGTTTGTTTTACAACAACTTTAGTTTTCAAAGTGTATAAGACAAAGACTATATCGTTCACTGTCATCCTACCACTGCCAAATTCTGAGCTAACACTTTTTTTTCCAAATTGGAAGAACGCTTTTAATTTTCTTATATTTCGTTCTGACTCTACTAGTCATAAAAGTCATAACAAGAAGGAGTTATTTGTTTAATATCGCAGAAAAATGGAGTCGCGTATAAGAGAGAAATCTGTCTAGCGAATCATTTTCATTATCAACGAAAGCATTGCGAGATTCGTGTCCGCGATGAGGTCAATAGAGAAATCCACTTCCAATAGCATCCGATTATGTAACTCGGCTCGTCTCTGTAATCTTCAGGGACATTTCAAGATTCGACGTAATCTACAAACATTTTCTTTCTATTGCAGGAGAAAAGTTAGAGGATCCCAATCAGGCTAAGATAACCGGCTGCGACGTGCCACCGTGCAAATTGAAACGTAGGACGAAATACACGATCGAAAATAAGATCGTGCCCGACAGAGATGTTGATAATCTGGTGAACTCCGTGAACGCCGCTATTCTGGGTGTACCGCTGCCGTTCGTCGGCGTCGACGGAACCAGCGCTTGCGACAGCATGTACAACGTGGACGGAACTCCGGCTGGATGCTCACTGAAAAAAGGCGTCGAATACATTTACAAGCGGGAATTTCCCATACTTCAAATTTATCCAACGGTTAGCGCTTCTTTCATACAAAAGTTACGCAAAGATGTTTCGAATTAGCCAGTCCCAGATTTTTAATTTCAATTTTTTTCTAATTATACATACTATACGTCGATGATATTATTTCGATCGCAGGTTTCTATGGTCATACATTACGAGTTGCTGGATGGAAATCATTCGATCGCCTGTTTCGAAGTACCAGCGAAGATCACCAATTGAGAGGAGCTGCTTCGTTCTTTCCGAGAGAGCCATCACCGTACCTCCCGGAAGTTACGAGGTCAGGCCTCTGGACCCAAAACAGAGCGTACAACGAAGACGAACGAGCCGAAACAGAGAGTGTTCGTTTTCGGTAACGAACCTCCGCGAAGATAGGGCAACCCTCCGTACAGTTTCATTCACGAACGAGCATAATCAGTATACGTATAGTGTGTCACGCGTAATCGTAATTATTAATAAAAATGCTTTTATATATTATCTTACGTATTACGTTTTTGCTTTCCTTAGCGATACGAATCTTCTATCTTTGCCACGTTTTATGTTATTTATATCGTGATCATTGTAATCGCGATCTATCTGTCGTGATTTTCCGAATGTGTTTGAAAACTTAAAGTTCGTTTCGAAGTAGGATAGATGCGCGGCGTTCATGCGCGATGCGTTATAAGCCGTCGATGATGTAGGAATCTAGACGAGGTTAATAGCTAGTGCCACGCGCGGACGCTCGATCAACTTGCTTCGATCACGCGACGATCGATCGACTCGCTCGACGGGCAACAAACTCGAATGAATATCCTCATTTCAAACAGTTATTTTTAAACGATTTTTACAAGCAAATATTAATGTAGCCAAATATTTGGTCGTGTTTTAGTAGTACCTTCAATAATCGATGTTTACCGGATATCCCTCGTTAACATAATAATTTCAACCGTGATTTTAAAATATGTACGATCAACCAAATGATCAAGTATATTTGCATACCACAAGCTCGATTTTATATACGATTATTATTTTTAGATTATTTTCAGGTGTGACTAATTAATTGCCGCTTAGATCGTAATATTATAAACGTTTCGATTTGTCTTGCCGTGAAATTTCCAAGTTGTACGAGCCTTTTCTTTGTTTTTGGAAAATCGACTATCACATTACAGTTAATTCGTTATTGTCGATAAAAATTGTGCAAATTGTAAACAAATGATTGTATGCGAAAGAACCGAATAAGTTGGAAAAATGGAATAGCAGAACTTTCGATCGCGAAAACGCGTAAATGCCATGAAAGAAATAATGAAAACACGTAGTAATAAGTCCCTTCCCGTAAATTATGTTTTCCAGGATTTTTCCTTTTCTATTTCAACAATACCGATTTCTTCCAGGCGTTTCATTCGACCGAGAATCCATGCAGACGTATCAGGCTGAATCGAAGCGCACGATAACGAGCTCACAGCACGCGGTATTCGCGGCAGCTTTCATAAATAACGAAAGTTGCGAACGATCTGTCTTCTCTACCCGCTTATTTTCCCTCCAGCCCAACCGTTCGTGTCTCATCGTGAGTTACAAAAGTAAATTACGACAGCCCGTTGATCGATACCATCTCCATTAATAATTCAATTAGAAACGGTTGTAGTGATTGCAGTCGCATGTACGCGTGCTCATCATTCTTCATTCTGGTTTTATCATCACTTTCGATTTTAAAAATAAATGGCACCCTGCTTGATTTTGCTCGGTTACGTGGCAGCTAGTTTTTGGAGATTGGCATGTTCCTGGTAACTTTCATAAAGATCGAGTAAACGGCGTCGCGTGAAGAAAAACGGTGCATTAATCTCGACCTCGGATCGCACGGAACCAAAACGTTTTTTACCGGTGTCGCGCGATCAGAGAGCTTAATGGTCGCGTTAATAGCGGACTTTTGCGTAATGTTGCTCGATCAAAGCTTGAAAGCTCGCGATTTTCGCTTAAGCTACACTTTTTCGCGATACTTGCCAACCGCACGTAACCTCGCGTTGCGTTCCAATTAAATCCGATTGTCTTATCGGTACCGTAGCAACAATAACAAATGGTAGTTCGAGGCACGTACTGTAAGCGGTTGTGTCGCGAAACGAAATTTCCGTTTATTGACATTGCGAGCACTTTACATTTAATAGAGTAAGCGAAAGTAATTTCTGCAAAGTAGTAGCAATAATCGATCACGTTAGCCGCGACGATAATTGTATCGTCAAATTTCACAAAATTATTATTTATGATCTTTGATGCTATAATAGAAGAATATGCGAATATTAAATATTAGATATCGTTCGCTCTTATCTTTATTCTTGAGATTTTCTTTTACAGAGTTTGCAAGTCCGGCATTACGGTAATGTCAAATGTTATCTATATTTAGTATTCTATTAATCAGGCGGCGAGGTTGTTCTTGCTAAGGTTATCTACTCTAGCATTTGTTCGATCGGTGTCATAGGATGAAATTAGATTCAATGGAAAAGTTCAGCTGCAGATTTTAGGCGTTGAAATTGTAAAAATCGAACTTCTCGACAAATTTTCTGTTCCTCCGTTGGCTTTCTGTATCTAGTATCCGTGTCAACCCGGAATTAGTTTTCACGAACATAGCGGTGTGCGTGGAAGTAACGAGTAGTTTTTTAGTTTCTTTCGACTTCATTACGAAATTTTTAGTACGTTTAAATTACACGGTAACACGATGTACGCGACACCGGCGCTTCGCTCAAGCTCTCCGTTTCGAGTTTACGCATACGTTACAACGTATTCATTCAAAGTCCCATTTGCTATTCGAATTATGCATTAAATTTGACTTTCTTCGAATGATTGCCACGAATAGCTGATGTTTCAGAAGAAGTACGATACGTTGAAATTTTACAAACATCGACTATCTCGGAAGTAGACAATTGTCGCTTCGGTAGTATTGGTCGTTGTACTTTATTTTATTTTTTTACCTATACGAAGTACATATATGCATATATGTATATGCAGGAAGCGAAGAATGACGCGTGCAAAGGGTAGATATGTCGGTTATTAATCCTTTGTCAACGCTTCTCTTATCGAACAAGCTCGTAACGAGTAAAGTCATTACCCGGCAGAAGAGGATTCGATAAACCTTTTGGTGTTTTTACACGAGCATACGTAGAAGCCGGCGCGCCGCGAGGGATGCCGCATACGTGTGTATTCGGAGCCTCGAATAAGCCATTCCCTTGTCGAAAAGATAGCTTTCAGAAAGCAGAAATGCCATTCCTGCCTTTCAAAAGCTTTTAAGTTGACCATGATCCGTGACACCGGTCAGAGAGCATCTGCTTCCTCGTTCGCCTCTTTCGCTCGTGAAATTCTTAGCCCCTGTTTCGATCTCTTCTATCCCCTGTCGTTTTCATCCTTTCGCACCGACTCCCTTCTAGCCCTCTTAAACCACCATAAACCGTCTTCGATGCTCGTGGAAAGCAAACACTCGTCCCTAAACTACCGAGCGCGAGCAATTATCTAAACGTTGCTTTGTCGGAAACTCTGTTTCGTCGAGCGACTCTGGGTGTGCTTGATCGGGAATGTCGACCAAACAATTATCTTCATTAATATTCAAATATTTTTATTAAACATTACTGATTTCTATACTAAAGAGCTCGCTGATTTTACGCGGACCTTAACGATGTTTTCGATCAGCTCTATGAACTTCCACCGAAATCGATTAACAGTGTCTCTAATCGTTGCATAGTTAACGCGAACTGTCAAATAATGTTAACCAATGAATTGAAGTATATTCGAGTTAAAAATTGAAATGCTTTGCTAAATCGCTTAAGAAATGAAACGAGATTATGAAACGGTAAAATTTTGTAAATATTTAATACGCAACTGAATTAGATATGCGCTTATAAAGCAGACTTGGATCCAAAAAGATTGTACGTCGAGGTTAACGACATTTGACCTATCTCTGCAGAGGAACAGTAGGTGAGTTTGTACGCGATACAGGCTCAATCGTAACTTCCGGCGAATGTTTTCGAAATATTTACGCACGGGAAATCGATCGTTGGGTATGGAATCGAGAAAATATGCTATTCGAAAGGAAAACACGAGTCTGTGCACGAATCTATAGTTTCAGTGTAAATAGAAAGCAACTATAGCGAATGTTTTCGGAGATGGACGAATGTATATGTAGGCACCGGCAATCCCTTAGCTGTGCACCGACGTTCTTCGATTCTTTTCGTTCTTTCCGTTCTTTTCGTATCGGCTGATGCAAAATTCGCGAATAAATTGCACGATCGTTCGACTCGAAACTTTTCGATCGTTCGACGATTTCGAACAAATCAAAATTTCCGCGTACAATATTAATTCATCCTTTCGTGTTATTTAAGTGTACAAAATATAACGGTCTGATCGTGCAAAATTACAGAATTTTAATTCTTTATATTTAAACATTAAGAATGACATAAAAATTAAACCGGACGATTGGAGAAGAACAAATTTATTCGTCGGATAAAAAGTACATTTTCAACGCGTTCAATGATTCATCGTATCGCTGTCTGACCAAGCATGACTATTTCTACTGGGCTGACTCGTTCGCCGTTCCACTGTCACAGTGGAAAAACCAATACACGATACCACAGATTCCGATAAGTATTATTCATTTTTCAATGCACTTGTTGAAAATTATTTATAAGTAACAGAATAAGATCATTCGAGTAAAATTCACGAAAACATATGTTCGAATAAACGTTTGTAGAGTATCGATAAAAATTCATCATTTGATGACGGATTCATCATTTTATTATGAAAGTTCTAATACTTGATTCCATTCGGCACAAGCAAGACACAACAGCGAATGCTGTAGAACGCATGTGCGTCCCATTACGCATCCATTTCGCGAATGTTTATCAGCAAGGAGTATTATTCGAATGTACGTCCTTCCGTGTAGGACAAACATCCCTTTCAAGCATAGCACAAGAGAGCTAAAGTGAGATAGAGAGATAGCGAGAGAGGGAAAGAGAGGCAGCAGCAGGATGCACGGTGTACGCGTCGAATCCCTTTTCACCCCTTTCACCCCACCCGCGGATTTTCCTCCGACACCACCACCTCCTAGGGAGGCTTTGCAGGCTGCGCGTCCGTCGCCGCGCCGTTTGCTCGTCTTTTCCGTCAGTGTGCCGTCCGCCGTCGCTCGAGGACCACGTGTTCCACATTTTTCCGTGGTGTCGCGTCGATCCGTGTTTATTCGCGTTTTCACTTTACGCGCGCTTCTTCCCTTATTATCCAAGCAACCACCGATGCACGCTAAACATCTCGAACAAACGAACAGAGTGACTCGTTCTTGACACGCGAGTGTTTATAACCGTTGTTCGATGTGTCATGGATTATTAACAAAGTGATTGAAGGTCCTTTCAATCACGTGTATATGGATAACGAAGGCAAATGCATCGATCAATTAACGAACGATTATGTTTCGCGATAATATTCGTGTTCGACGCTCGTGAAAAGAAGAGCAGAAAGAAAAGCGCGCGAAAATCGAACGGGAAGACTGGATGATTTTAGACGATTTTTACGAGCCCCGTTTTCGTAATACCGACGATCTAAGGGTTGTCGGTCGCTAAATTTTTCTTTCGATCGATTTCGAAGAGATTGCAGGTTCGTCCCGTGTCGTCGTTGCTTGGACCTTTTCCAGCCAAACCGGAAATCTGTGGCAAGCCAACGTGATCGAAGATCTCCGCAGTGCTTCGTTTTTCGTTTGCATCCTGGAACGACGTTGAAAAATACGTTTGCCGATTAACCGTCAGAAAATTTGAAATATTCACGCGCTTCGGCCATTTTCGAACGATCGTTTATTCGAAATTTTCTTATTACCTTTTCCGATCGTTCAACGAAAAACGATTATACGCTTTGTCGTAGTTTACGAACAAACTGGAAGTTTTCTAGTCGGTTTTATCGATCGTTCCGAAAAATTTTCAGTTGACACGTAATTCCAATAAATGAAAAATACAGATTGTCCGTTTGGTCAAGAACTTAGCGGTCATAGAACGCGATGTCGTCCATAAACGTAACGATCTAGAAGGGGTGCAGTGGACAAGCATCCAGTTGGAAGGGTCGAAACTTTACACAGAGGAGTAATTATAATAACGTCGAAAGTTCGCTTTAGCCAAACTTAACGGCCACGGTACGCGATAGCGGCCATAACTGCATCTTTGCAAAGGGTGTAGCGCACGAGCGTCCCAACCGAGGGGTTGAAAGCGTTCCCAAAAAGTTGACACGCAATTATAATAAAATTCCAAGCTCCAGTCGCTTGGTAAAGACGTAACGTTCACTGTAAGGGATTAAGTCGATAATTGTAAAGGGTGTAACGAACGAACGTCCAGTTTGACGAATCTTAAAACGTCTGAAAAATTTTCACACGTAATTGCAATAGAGAAAAAATAAAGTTCAGGCATCGCACACGCGACTGCGTCCTTGCAAGAGGACAAGCGGTTTGTTCGCGAGGTCGAAAGCGTCCCGTGGAGGTCCGCGGGCAATTCCGATAAATAGGAAGTAAAATTTCAAGATTCGATCGGTCGACTAACATCGAATGTTCACGGTATAGGGTGTAGCCGGCATAAGCACGAGTGTGTAGCGTACGAATGGTCAGTCGGAATGATTGAAATCGTCCGAATAAGTTTGACACGCATACAGAATAAATTTGATGGTCCGTATGGTGCGTGGACGAATATTCTCGCACTCGTTCAAAAGACATAAATTTTTCGGTAGAATACGTAGCAAGAGCGAGCGTTAGCGTTCCGAACACGGTCAGAGATCGAAGAGGAAAGTGATCCAAGAGGAGGGTTACCCAGGTCCCAGTAGCGTAGACGTTACTTTCCGGACAGCGTGTGTCGGTGCGGTGAATTTTGCGGCCTCGGTGAACGCGTAGAATGGTCAGCGTTGATTACGGCTATCATGCCCGTCGTTGCAGGTTATTGGCGGAAGTGGCGAGCGGTTAGGTCGAAAGCGCGTCGAGCCACGGTTTTCTAGCGGCTCGGAGGGCTGTTACGCGTGTCCGACGCGCTTTAATATACGCGGTGGATGAAAGGCAGGAGGAAAAAAAGGGAGGAGACGGAGAAGGAGGGGTTGCGGTACGCGGTTGCGGATGCGGTGCTGGCCGCTTTAATTAGCGTTTAACCGAAGAGGAAAAACAAGGGGCGTCGGATTAGACGAGCGGAGTTGGCCGAACGTTGATGCCAGAAATCGGTTTAACTCCCGATAAAGTTGTTCGATATATCGATAAAATAACATCCGCGAGAGAATGATCGTGGACGACGGTAAAAAGAAGAGATCCAAAGTGCGTGCGATAAGAGTGCAAGAGGTCGCGGGCGTATCGAATACCGTGCCAGAATGACCTAACAGCAGTCTCGATCGAAACCGTTCGTCGTTCGCTTTTGCCTCTTCGCGTACGAGTGCTCTGTGGGATTCGTGACGAGGATAACGAGAAACAACGAACGAAAGAACATGTGGAGTGTACTGTTGCTCGTCGGACTAACGAAGGCTGTTTCCTACGTCGCTGGGATCGCTTCCACCGTCGACGAGAAATCGGGTGAGTCCTCTTTCTTTTCCCTTATTCTCTTTTTTTCGTTTCCTTCACCTTTTTCTACCTTTAACGCCCACTCTCCCTTTTATCTGCGTTTCTCGTTACTCCTCCGCGAAGGTAGAGTACCAGAGAAATCTTCATCTCCAGGCATGTCTTTTCAAGCGTTTTTCGATGAGGTATTCATGATCAGCGAAAAGTAAATGGATAGCGCAATTTCGTTTATATTTCTACCTTGTTTTCTTCATTTTCGAACCAAGTCTCGCCACGATGCAGTGAAAAAAGAAAAGAAAGAAAATCACTCAGAGAAAAGACAGAAAAGATCTAAAATGCCTCCCCCTTAATACTAAGTAGGCGTTGAAAGATTTTTTGATCGCAAACTGTAGTTGTAAAAAAATAAAAAACTACAAAAACAAAATTTGAGGGATTCGATTCGGCACGATTCGACTCGATGCGATCCAATTCGATTTGCTGTTCGCACCGTGCTTCCCTCTGGATACCAAGAATCCTTTCGAAAATTCTGGATCGTGAAACTAAAGATTTTCAATTCTCTCACCGTTAAAATGGCAAGGTCGGGTTCGACCACGATTCGATTCGACTATTGTTTTACCTAATCGTGCAATAAATGCATCGAGTTTCAGATTTGAAATTCAGAATCGAAGTTGGAAAGTTAACTGGCTTACGCGTGTCCGACGCGCTTTAATATACGCGGTGGATGAAAGGCAGGAGGAAAAAAAGGGAGGAGACGGAGAAGGAGGGGTTGCGGTACGCGGTTGCGGATGCGGTGCTGGCCGCTTTAATTAGCGTTTAACCGAAGAGGAAAAACAAGGGGCGTCGGATTAGACGAGCGGAGTTGGCCGAACGTTGATGCCAGAAATCGGTTTAACTCCCGATAAAGTTGTTCGATATATCGATAAAATAACATCCGCGAGAGAATGATCGTGGACGACGGTAAAAAGAAGAGATCCAAAGTGCGTGCGATAAGAGTGCAAGAGGTCGCGGGCGTATCGAATACCGTGCCAGAATGACCTAACAGCAGTCTCGATCGAAACCGTTCGTCGTTCGCTTTTGCCTCTTCGCGTACGAGTGCTCTGTGGGATTCGTGACGAGGATAACGAGAAACAACGAACGAAAGAACATGTGGAGTGTACTGTTGCTCGTCGGACTAACGAAGGCTGTTTCCTACGTCGCTGGGATCGCTTCCACCGTCGACGAGAAATCGGGTGAGTCCTCTTTCTTTTCCCTTATTCTCTTTTTTTCGTTTCCTTCACCTTTTTCTACCTTTAACGCCCACTCTCCCTTTTATCTGCGTTTCTCGTTACTCCTCCGCGAAGGTAGAGTACCAGAGAAATCTTCATCTCCAGGCATGTCTTTTCAAGCGTTTTTCGATGAGGTATTCATGATCAGCGAAAAGTAAATGGATAGCGCAATTTCGTTTATATTTCTACCTTGTTTTCTTCATTTTCGAACCAAGTCTCGCCACGATGCAGTGAAAAAAGAAAAGAAAGAAAATCACTCAGAGAAAAGACAGAAAAGATCTAAAATGCCTCCCCCTTAATACTAAGTAGGCGTTGAAAGATTTTTTGATCGCAAACTGTAGTTGTAAAAAAATAAAAAACTACAAAAACAAAATTTGAGGGATTCGATTCGGCACGATTCGACTCGATGCGATCCAATTCGATTTGCTGTTCGCACCGTGCTTCCCTCTGGATACCAAGAATCCTTTCGAAAATTCTGGATCGTGAAACTAAAGATTTTCAATTCTCTCACCGTTAAAATGGCAAGGTCGGGTTCGACCACGATTCGATTCGACTATTGTTTTACCTAATCGTGCAATAAATGCATCGAGTTTCAGATTTGAAATTCAGAATCGAAGTTGGAAAGTTAACTGGCGCGAAAACGCGACGAAACAGTATAGTTGGCGTTTCGAGAAGGAAATGGATTCGACGGGATAACGATTTACGCGCGATCCCTGTTGTCGAACGACCATAGAGGGAAGACAGGTCGATAGGTATTCCCCGAGTGTCGTATAATGTAGCGAGTACGCGTCCGTGCTTTCGTTGCTAGCTGTGCTTCCTGTGTTGATCCCAAGAGACGATTCGCCGTGTGCATCTTTGCGCGAACGAACCCAGCTGCGTCTAATCAAATTGGCCATATACGTAGAATTTGGATTTCCAAGAATAGATATTGATTTCGCGTAGCATCACGAAGCTCGCGTTGACCCTTTATAGTTGAACCTCCCATATCGCGTTTGTACGTTTGCCTAGCAGTCTCGCGTTATATGAAAAAGATGACTGTTAAATCGAAGCAGAAATAAAAAATTATCGCGGCGAATTAATTTGTTTGGTACCGTCACAGCGCCTTGGAACTCGTGGAGTTTGACATTTAATTAGCAAGATGACGAGATACGAGAATCGAATATTGCAATCGAAGAATTACAGTGACCGCGGTAGTAGCTAACGGTACGCTGTCGCTTCGACTTTGATGCAATTGTTAAGGCGAAGAAAAATTGTCGGATCGTCAAGTTCGATTATCGAGAAAGAGAATCGAAACTGCGAAGGGTGAAACACCGTTGCTATCGACGAAATCCGAAATAAAGAGTACTTGCCGTCGTTTTAAAAACATACCCGTAACACTTCTAAAAGTAATACTATAACGATTAAGAGTAATACGTTTTGAGATTGGAGTGTCAAAGCCAGCGGAAGTTTCTCATTGTTTCGCGATCGAAAACTCGGCTTTGCTAACCGCCTAAGGTGCTCGTAATCGTTCTCGTGCTTGCTGTCCTATGACGCGCGGTTCGTGCATTGTCTTCGACACGAAAGTTCTCCGACTTGGCGCAACTGCTCCGGGAATTCGATTAAAGCCGAGTCTCGTGGCCAACTGGTCCGGCGGTCGTTCGATCCGATCTCTAAGTCCACGACATTCCGATCGTCCGTGACCGCGATTTCCCGGATCTCCTGTCGCTTCACGCCCGTTATCCGAAAGGTTCTCTCGAGAATTTTGCCCTTTGGCTCGAACTTTGGCTTGGCCGATCGGATCGACGTAAAAATTTCGGGAACGAGTCACCGTGGCCCGAAAGAGCTCCGTCGGAACGCGACAGGAATATCGAAAGTTGCCGGTTATAATCCGTTCGCAGTTTTAAAAGTCCCATCGACGTTTATAGCATATTCTCCTAGCGGATCCTTATGCGAGCAACCAGATGATTTAAGATATCATTTACCACACTGTTGGTCCGGCCGACAAACGCTTCCATCGCAACGCTCGCAAATATGCCGACGGATCGAGCTTGTTATTAATTATTGATACCATGGCAATAACTCGACGCGGTAATAATGGTCGAAAATATGATCGCGCAGAGAGATATACACATGTAGGTCGACGCGACGACTGGCCACCGGCCACGCGCAACGTTCCCGCGCTACGATGCACGGTAAATATATTTCTGTAACGCAACAATTATCGACGGTATCGTTTATTATTACTCGTTCGTCGGCTTCTCGCTTCGATATTCATC